AACAGGTTTAAAAGAAAAGATGAATGATGAGAAATTAGAAAAAGTTTTTATAGCGCGTTTCATCCATTAGTCCGATGAAGTCATAAAAACTTTTTCTTTTCTTTCAAATCTATGCAAAGCAACCCACACTCAACAAAATTACATTTCAAAACAGCCACAACATATTACAGTGCATCTAAACACATGGTTCTATTGATAATATTTCTTTCTCTCACACGGTCATGTATGACATCATAGAACCGCATTACGTATTTACGACTTGCGTCTGCTATTCGGCTACCGTTGTCGTCGCATAGCAAACTTCTAACAGGATGACTTCTTTGATGGTGAACATCTTTGTTGTAATGTCCATATAAGCACCTCTGATGATGGCTCATCTGAGCTGAAAGCTTAGATCGACGACTAATATAATAAAAAAATATCCAAATGTTGGACAGTTTTTGCTTTTATTTTCTCTTGAAATTAAAGCAACGAGACGAAGCTTAGAACGGAATATGTTAGCTCTATCACTGATATTGAGCACTTTCCAATAATTATTGCGCATATAAAATAATATATATGTGTGTGTGTGTGTGTGTGTGTGTGTGTGTGTGTGTGTGTGTGTGTGTACTGTAAAACCTTTATACACGGCCTTGGACCATATTCCGTTTGACTGGGCGTGTTGATAAATACCCACTCACACGAGAGAGAAAATGAGTGAGTGAGTGAGTGAGTGAGTGAGTGAGAGAGAGAGAGAGAGAGAGAGGGAGAAAGGGAGGGAGAGAGAGTGTGTGAGAATTGGCAAATTAACATTTCTTACAACGGAAGTCAGTGTGACCTGTTGACTCTTCAGCCAAGTAACACTGACCTGGTTTTGAATAATTCATGATAAGTAAATTATAATGGATACAAAAGTAAAAGTGGGTTTGTGTTGTCGATAAACAGATCATTAAAATGAAGCAAATATCAAAATGAGTTAAAAAAAAAAACAAAAAAGCAAAAAAAAACAACATTTTATACCTTTGTAGACTGGCGCTCAAAAAGTTGCTAAATTTGACCGAGTGTTGCGTCATTCACAGCCAAGTCAGCGGTCTGTGTTCAAGTCCAGTTGGTATATCACTGTGCTAGCACCAAGATCACTACGTACAGTCACTCCCCCTCCCCGCTACTGAATCATTGTGCCAGATTAAACTCATTTTAAGTACTGTATCTTTTCAGGAGGCACTCGATCATAGTTCTTCTCAACTTCCTATCCTTGTAACTTTTACTAACGTTTGTCTTTTGACAATCACCTACTCTCTGTTCTGCCATTAATTTACATAAACGCATCAGATTTTTTTTAATCATTTCACCCCAAGGAAGGCAACAAAGCCGCCAAGAAGGAAGGGGGTTACTCAGTATGAAAGAATATGAGAAAAAAAAACACACTATTAAGAAGAGGTAACAATACAAGAACTGGTTTGGTTTGGTTTGTTTTACAGCATATGAACCTCAATGGGTTATTTAATGCTGACAAGATTTTTATTGCTGCTAATATTTTTTTTAATCTATCTATCTATCTATCTATCTATCTATCTATCTATCTATCTATATATATATATATATATATATATATATATTGGTTTAGTTCGTGTTACGGCATATCAACTTCAATGGGGTATTTAATGTCGAGAAGATTTTTATTGCTGCTAATATTTTTTTTTATCTATCTATCTATCTATCTATCTATCTATCTATCTATATATATATATATATATATATATATATATATATATATATATATATATTGGTTTGGTTCGTGTTACGGCATATCAACTTCAATGGGGTATTTAATGTCGAGAAGATTTTTATTGCTGCTAATATTTTTTTTTATCTATCTATCTATCTATCTATCTATCTATCTATCTATATATATATATATATATATATATATATATATATATTGGTTTGGTTCGTGTTACGGCATATCAACTTCAATGGGGTATTTAATGTCGAGAAGATTTTATTGCTGCTAATTTTTTTTTTTTATCTATCTATCTATCTATCTATCTATCTATCTATCTATCTATCTATCTATTGGTTTGGTTCGTGTTACGGCATATCAACTTCAATGGGGTATTTAATGTCGAGAAGATTTTTATTGCTGGTAATATTTTTTTCCAAAAAATGCTGGCAATATTTTTTTTCTTCAAAAATTCATTGCTGGTAATAATTTTTTGTAAAAATGCATTTCTGGTATTAAAACCTATTTTTAGATTTTCATATTGTTTTGAGCCCGGTTTGGGGGTTAACTATTTGCCCATAGCAGGGACCCTAACTGGTACTACCACACCGGGTCAGGGAGGACCTGGGAACACCAGCAATTAAAAGGTGGTTCCACGCTCCTCAAAACCTCCTGAACAGAGGCCTTGGTGTTGGATGTTGTTTATCGTCTTACCCAGGACGGTAAAAGAAATCTGAATTTCTTCTTACCACGCATAAAACCGAAAATTTAGAGTTGTTTCCCTTTAAAAAAAAAGAAAAAAAAAGAAAAGGGAATGACTATGAAACTGTAAATCCAACCTAAAGTTATACTCATTCGGGTCGTCGTATAAGGTTCAAAATAGGGAATTTGTTATGTATGGCCAGATTATTATCTGATGCTAATACATAATGAATTTGAAGAATTTTAATTGTATTATAGGAATAAAAGTAGCAGACGGTGGGTGTATGTGTGTTTATGCGTGTCTGTGTGTGTATATATGTGTGTATAGAATTCTCTTGGATAAAAATTGATAGGAATCAAGATGGCTACACTTAATTTGGGCAAAAACTCTGTAAATTCCTTTATATCTAAACTTTCTTAATATCAGATGTGGAAGTCGAATGGATTTTCTCCTGAATCGCCTACGATTGCATATAAAGGCGGAGAGTAGCTCACGGCCACATCACGTTGAAACACCGTACGATCACCGAAGTTAAGCAACGCCAAGCCTGATCAGTGATGTGATGGGTGACTGCTGCGGAAAACCAAACGCTGTAAGCTTGGATGCTCGTTTGGCTTAATGGATAATGGCTCAGAATTTTCCGAGTCCCAATTTCTTGTTGAGTTTGTTATATTCACTTACGCTCAAATATCCTTTGGAAAGGTAGAGAATCCATCTCCTCTTCCTCCAGCTATGGGTTAATTAGTCAGACTTATATCACTAAATAATTAATATCTCCCCTCCCCACGAAAACAAAATAAATAGTTTAAAAGTATTTTCTGGCTTTAAATAACCTGCAAGCGCCTGACAAGCCATAGAAAAGGAATCAATCAATCAATGAAATACTAATTAGCTACACAGACATGTCTTTTAGATTTATTTGCATTCTATGGAATATAAATCTATAGAAACAACCTTGGACACAAAGTGAGGGATCTGTTTATATATTGATTGTAATATAGAATCCACCCCCACTTTATGTCCACATTATACTTGTTTGTTTATCAAATTCTGATTAGGTATGAATCCATCTCTTCTCCCCTAAGCTATGGGTTAATTAGTAAAGACTTGTATCACTAAATCATTATTATCTCCCTCCACCAAAACAAAAAATAAGCTGTCTAAAATATTTTCAGGATTTAAATAACCTGCAAAGGGTTAATAAGTCGTAAAAACCGAATCAATCAATCAAAGGCGGAGAGCAGATTATTCTTCACAAAATCAACAGACGAATTTTTAAGCAAAAATAGATTATCAGCTATTATTGAAAAGGTGCATTGCCATATCACACTAGTCTAACCTATGCTAAATGTGCGCATATCTATCTATCTATCTATCTATCTATCTATCTATCTATCTATCTCTTTCTTTCTCTCTCTTTTTCTCTCTCTCCCTCTCTCTCTCTCTCTCTCTCTATATATATATATATATATATATATATATATATATAAAGAGAGAGCCAGAAGTGTTAAGAAGAGAATATTTCACATAACTTATATACATAAGAGTACGCTGAGTTTCGTGGATTATTCCATATCCTCGGCAGAGCATTACGTGTCCGTAGATAGATAGATAGATAGATAGATAGATAGATAGATAGATAGAATGATAAATAGACATTAGATAGATAGATAGATAGATAGATAGATAGATAGATAGGAACGGAATGATAAATAGACATTAGATAGATAGATAGATAGATAGATAGATAGATAGATAGATAGATAGATAGATAGGAACGGAATGATAAATAGACATTAGATAGATAGATAGATAGATAGATAGATAGATAGATAGATAGATAGATAGATAGATAGATAGATATGAATGAGTTGAAGTACATATGAACAAGTTTTGATAGATAGATAGATAGATAGATAGATAGATAGATAGATAGATAGATAGATAGATAGATAGAATGTTGTCAACGAAATCAATACTGCATGTGACTTACAGTTTCACACCTCAAGTGATTTCTGTGTTCATACCGGTTACATCTTCATCCGCCTTTCAATCCCTGATACTGAGAACCCTTTCCCCATAACTATAGCATCAATTAGACGTATATTTGTTTCAGGTGCACAATTTATTGAACGGGACAGGTAGAAGCAATAGAAAATACGCAGTCTTCAGGTGCTCTACTCAGTACCCGAAAGGGGGACCTCGAGGTGGTGTAATGATTAGCAAGCTTGTCTTACTAGAACAATTACGACTGAGTAGCGAGTTCGATCTTTCGGCCTTGTGTCACATCTAACCTACGCTTGGAAAATCTTTACTCAGTACCTGAAGATTGCTTTTTACATAATATTCAGTGTCGTGCTACTGGTGATGAAAATAATGTATATATATATGTATATAAAGATATAAATTTTAAGTTTTAATAATCATTTTTTTAAAATTATCATTAATATTAGTCACTAGCTTTTTTCCTAGGTGAGACGAATGAAGACAACATGGATTTGAAATCCAACACAGGATTTATAATATTTCTCTGACATATTTGAGGTATATTTTTGAACTAAGTAAATGTGTTGAGTAGGATGTATTTATTAAGAG